GCAAATTTATGAAAGCAACATGCAAATCAGTAGAGGTCTAGTGACTCAAAACAAACAAACAAACAAATGAAAGAAAAGGGAGTGATTACTGTGCCTCATGGAGGATTCCTGACTGCGTCCATAAGGTTGTCCAGGGGTGTGTGTGTGTGTTTGTGTGTGTGTGTGTGTATGAGTGTATGTGAAAGTGTGTGTGTATAGGGTGTAATGTGTATATGGTTATACATGATTGTGTATATGGTGTATATGTGTATATGAGTATATGTGACTGTGAATGTATTGCATGTATATGTGTATAAGTGTGTGTACATGTGTGTGTATGCATGCGTGTGTGTCTGTGTATGAGGTATATGCATGTATGAGAATATGTAAACATGTGTGTGTTTTGTGTATAAAGTGTGTATGATTATATGTGATTGTATGTATGGAGTATATGTGACTGTGTATGTATGGCAAGTACGTGTGTATAAGTGTATGTATGTGTGTGTTCATGCATGCATATGTGTGCACATGTATGTGCATGTGTGTATGCAGATGCACACATGTGTATGTGTGCTCCTTTGCTATTTCCTGAAACCCAGAATTCTCCCTTGTCCTGAGTAATAGGTATTATTGGAGTGAAGTGGGACTGTGTGTACATTGTTTTATTATTATTATTATTTTAGTTTTAAATAGTTTGTTTTACATGTCAATCCCAGTTCCCTCTCCCTCCCCTCCTCCCGCACCTCCCCACCATACCCCCCAGCCTCCCAACCTATCGCCATTTCCTTCCACATAGGGGATATCTAGAGTCTGTCATTTCACTCAGGGTAGGGTCTAGGCACTCCCCTAAGAGTCCAGGCTGAGAGAGCATCCCTCTTTGTGTTATGGACACATGATGTCTGTTTGTATTCCAGGGATAAACATTGATCCACTGCTCAGGGCCCCATAGGTTGCCCAGGCCTCCTCACTGACTCTCACATTCGGGGGGTCTGGATCAGTCCCATGCTGGCCTCCCAGCTGTGGTTTTGGGGTCCAAGAGCTCTCCCCTGTTCAGGTCAGCTGTCTCTGCTGGTTTTGCCAGCCCATTCTTTGCCAATTTGCTCACCACTCCTCTCTCTCTGTCACTGGGTTCCTTGGGTTCCGTTCAGTGTTTAACTGTGGGTGCTTGCCTCTGCTTCCATCAGTCACTGGATGAAGGCTCCAGGATGGTTATAGACATCAAGTTCATTATCAGGAGTGGGCATTCGAGGTGGTCTCTCCCTTGTCCTGAGTAATAGGCATTATTGGAGTGAAGTGGGACTGTGTGTACATTGTAATGGATTGTGCTACAATTCAGGAAAGCTTCTCAGGGCTAGGAATCAGAGCAGAAGAACTCCCTGAAATTCTGGCTCTGAGGCCCAGCCAGGCCTCAGGTTAGAGGCCTCATCTCTGGCACTCTTCTGTCAGGGTGTCTCTCTACAAGACCATCTGCATGTGTCACTCCAGAGCTTGTACCTCATTCTGATTTGCATTCTGGGCACCTGGAGAAATACAAGCTTTCTGGCATTGAAGTTAGCTAGCTGACTTGTTAGGAAGTTACTTCTCCTGTCAAAGGAGGGTGATGGACTACATTCTTAGCTTACCAGCTCTACTTGTGACATTTTGATGGCTGGTCCTATGATACTGAGTTTCATTCAGCCCTTGTGTCAACAATAGTGAAAGGGGGCATAAGCAGGGATTCTTTCTTGTCCCAGGTTGGTCTTGAGTGCCTTATCATCTTGGAGAATCGGTTGCCTTCAAGTCTTAGGTACCTCCACGTGGTGAAGCTGAGTTGGATGAACAGTAAGGGCTCTGGAAGATAAGCATCATGGGAAAGCGGTGGTGGGGGAGACTTTTAAGAAGACTGTCTGTGCTTGGTGCCCCCCACAGGTGCCCTGGTTTGAAAAGGAGCAGGCATGCTGCAGGTTCTGTGAAATTTGCATACGCAGTTCTGAATGGTTTGGTAATCTCTTATATTCCTCGAATACAGTGGCATTGGTGTATTATATTTGCACACAATTATAGGGTGCTGCAGTAATTAATTTAATGGAGCAAATTTTGCTTTCTTGATATTGCAGTCTTCTGGACGTACTGAGTGAGTTTATGAAAACAAGATGCAAATAAGAATTCAAGTGTTTTAAGTAACTCACTCAAACAGGACTATCATTATAACTTGAGTAATGTTTATAGTTAGCACCCTAACTAGAGCTCATGTCACAATTGTCAAACTTATTTTATACTAAACAAGGTAGCTGTTTTCATCTGTGTATCGTTATCTAATAAGTTACTAAATAATTTACCACATGAATGAATTCTTCCAAATATTCTTCATTCTGGACACATAGGTGGCTGGCAAGTAGGGTAAATCTGAAGGCAAACGGAACCCAAAGTTCTCCATCTCCCACTTCTCCTATTCTGTCTACACCGTCTTCTCCCCCCTCATAAATAACTAGCTAGCATATCCAGTGGTCAGAGACTTCAGAGTTGGATTTTCCTACCAAGTTTGAACCCCTTGAGTCCAGTGTGTCTGGGGTCAAAAGCTATCTTTCCCAGGCTTATGGGACTGCCTGATTCTTTTGTTCACCACTGTCCATTGGGGCTTGGAACAACTTTGTTTTACCCTGCTGTACAGCTCTATAGGCATGTAGGGTATAGCGGCAGAGCACAGTCTGAAGGGCACGCCTCACCTCGGACTCCCTCTATTGCTTCAGCAAACTCAGGTTCAATAGTTCAGAGTAGCACCAGTAGCTACAGTGAAACAGAAATGGGTAAAATCTGTTTCAATAATGTACTTTGTTAACAAAGATATCCGAAATACTATTATTTCCACTTTTGATCAATATAAGGTATTAACAAGATACTAACACCAAGCAAGTGAAGCCTGGTGTCTGCTTTGCACTCCGCATGTTCATTTAGGGCTAGCAACATTTGAAGTGCTTAGTAGGCACATGACTACTGGTTGTTGGGCTGGATAGCAGAAATTGAATCCCTCAACCTTCTTGACAGTTTGCCTGAGACCTCGGGCTGCAGATGATGTGGAAAAGACTGCTTCCAAATGCAAGTGCTGTGTTTGTGTGACTTGTTTATCTTTGCAGTAATATGAATAACCATTCCATCCAGTATGCCTACTTATGTAATTAATTAGCATTTATATAGCAGTTTATGTTTGCAGAGTGCTTTATTGATGTAGTTGCCAGTATATTTATCTACTTCCATGTTTATGCTTTTCTATAAGCCTACCTGTGCTAATTACTGCTATAATTACCAAAGTTATTTAAGAATACAACTCATAGTTACCTTCAAGAGCACTGACAACTATTTTAATAGCAACAATAAATTCTATCTTCCCTTTCTAAGATCTGCCTGTTTCACAAAGAAATTTTATAACTCCATCCAGTATTCTCCAAGTTCTTGCTCTGCCTAACAGTGAAAGATACATTTGAAAGCAATTTAGTAATTGTCTTTCCCCCTTTGTCAGCTTAAATTTTGTACAAATGTGATGGAAATTGAATGTCATATCTCATAAAAACAGCCTCAAAATACACAGCCTTCCAACATGAAAAGAATAATTACAAATAATGACATCAATGTCAAAGAATGCTGTTGTGCTATTGGTGTTATTGAGTGTCATTTCCCAGCAATCATCCAAAATTTGTATTTAGTGTGTGTGTCTGTGTGTTGATGTATGTGTGGATGTGAACGTGCCTGTATGGATGCACATAGATGTGTTCCTGCATGTGTAGAGGCCAGGGGTTGATGTCAGGTGTCTTCCTTTATTGTTTTCTACTTATTCCTTGATACAGGGTCTCTAACTGAACCTGGGGCTCACAATGTGGCTTGACTCGCTCACCAGCCCTGGCTGCTCTTTCCCAATACTAAGAGTACAGGCACATGGCTACTCCTGTCTTCTGTGTAATTATTGGGGATTCAGACTCAGGTCTTTGTGCCCACAAGGCAAACATTTTATCCATTGAACCATCTTCCCAGTCATTCAGTTAAAACTACCTTCTGATAAATTATAGAGTCCATAAGTAGGAGGGGGATAAGAATACATGGGCAGAGTCTAGGGTACCATGTCCTGGCCACTCAGGGCACACCATGTTAGAACTATCTCCCTGAGATGAGAGCTGAGGCACAAAGGATGGAAAGAGAAGGGAGAAATGAAACTGTGTTGTGGCTGGGAGATTTCCACCTCACCCACTGCTCTCCCCCATCACTCCCCTACTCCTCCCAAGTCAACAAGGGGGGAAAGTTACAGTATTCCAATGCATTCCATGCTTTTGCAGCTCATGGTGATTGGAAATACCAGCGAAGGGAGTGCTACACATCACACAATGCACCAACAGCTACAAAATGCAGTCAGCTCCACAGCAAAACCAGGCAGCTCTTGACTACAACAGCAACACCACCCAAGAGACTTGAGACCAACTCCCACGCTGAAGCAATTTTGTGAGCCCAATATTGGGGATTAGAGCTGAACATGAGAGATCTTACTCCACAAATCACCACATACCCACTGCTTCTGCTCCCTGCTCTGCCATTCCCTGGAGAAAATCATTAAGACTCTTTCTGTCTCTCTTTAAAATGGGAGCTAAATTAGTAACTTACCACAAAGGAGTGTTTTCTTAATTACTTGCGTACAAATTACTTGACATTATTGAATGAAAGGTATCAAGGAGAATGCAAGCTATTACCATGATTATTTTTGTTCTAATATAAAGTGGTGGGCCAGAAGCCCTTTCTATCTGTGGATTACGCTTTAGCTCCTAGATGCTTCAGGGACCGGTTCCTAAGGCTTCAAACGCCATTAGTACAAGCAGCCTTTCAAGGCAGATCAAGAGGGGCTGGCAATCCAGGCTGAAGCTTGCTGGATGTAGATGTAGAGTTGAAAGAGCAGATTCAGGGGGAGACAATGGGGACTGGGTGGTGGGCTCATCTTGGCTGGCCACAGTGTGAAAAGCTTCATTTTCATGACCTCCAGTTTCCTCTCATCCTGTTTGCAGGTCTTCCAGCTCGGCCGTATAGCCTTGGGGAGAGATGGATTCCCACCACCACCACCACACGACTGCCTTGCCGTGTGCTCTGCAGCACAAAATGACAGGCACCAAAAGTAAACACAGAGAGTTCAAGGCCAGCCTGGTCTAAAAAGTTCCAGGCCAGCCATGGCTATATACTGATACTCTATCCCCTGTAAAATCCACCACTGCCACCACCAACACTGCCAATAACAAAAATAAACACGGATTGACATAATATAGCAGGGCTGGAGAGGAGAGGACAGCTCCCTCCAAGTTATAGCTAAGCATGTGTGGAAAGAGAGATGTCAGAAAGAACTTTCTAGTCTGGCTCCTTCCAAAACCCACCAGCGCGAGGTCAACACCACAGTAAATAGCAGTCATTTTAAGGAGCGATGGTCCTGCTCAGAAGGAGGGCTTAGGGGGCAACCTAGCCTAGGGAATGTGAGCTTCCCTTGTTGACCTTGGTTTGCTTCTGACTTTCTGAAGCATGCTGTGATGTTGTCTTCACGGGGAATGCAGAGTCAGGAGGAAGTGACACAGCCTGGTAATTATTTTAGACAATTGCGCGGCAGTGGAATAAGGCCTTGAATGCTTCCCATAGAATCCTTTTGATCAAAACATTTACTCTGCCAGAGCTAAGACTGCAGCATGCCTCTGAATAATTAGACAAGTTCCCATCCAGTGGTATGGTGAGGGGGAAGCCATGCCCACCAGGTTTCTCCTGCACACAGAGAGGTTTTATTCGCTGCTCTGAAATATCTTCCTTATGAATTCCAGTGTGTTATGCTTACTATTAATGTCTTAATGATAGTGACAGGAGACTGTTTAAACCTCATTTCATGGCCGACTTTCTATATAGAAACGCTCTCTCTCTCCTCCCATATGCGATTTTCTGTCTATTCATTAATTGCACTGCTGCTCTCCTAAGTTTATTTACTGCTTCTAAATATGTATCTTAATTTACATGTCAAGTCCCACGGGGTGGCTATAAAATGTAAAATCTTATATAATAGCAGAAGCAGCCGCAAATATTTTATATCCGAGGCTGCTTCTGAATCCTAATTCTGCAGATGGCGTGAGGTTCATTTTTATAGAAGCCATTGAAAACTAATAAATGCCATCCACATCACTCAGCATTGTCAATAATCTACCAGATTGTGTGCCCAGGGATGCTCGGGAAGCAGGATGAGAGGCCGGCCCTTCCCTCTGCAGCCTCCAGCTGCACAGCCACAGCTGACTGGTCCTATCAGCCTCCACAGTTTTGTACAGCTCAGCAGCAAGGCCGGGCTGTTTGCATTTCTCACCAGCCAGGGGAAAGGCCCTTGCAACAGGGTAATCACTGCACAGGGCACGCAGGGGAGAGAGGTGAGCTTGCCACTCCTAATGCTGATTATTGCATTTGCCTTCCTCAGAAGCAATCGGTGAGCAGAGCAGGAAAAGAAAGGAGGTAGCAGTGAGGTGAGCACCACCTGACCTGGTGCAGAAGCCATGCATTCCTGACTCGTTTCTTAGTCTACAGCCCTACCGACAGCCAGTCTCCCCCTATTCACACTCATATGCATGCATGCTTGTGTGCGCATGCATGAGGAGGCCAGGGGTCAACGTCAAGTGTCTTCTTCAGTTGCCTAGTTTTTTGATACAAGGTTTCCTCACTAGAATTGGAATTCATGGATTGAGTTAGCCAAACTGGCCAGCAGGCTGCTGGGATCTTCTTGTCTCAGTTTCCCCAGAGCGGGGACAGCAGATACTTGCCATCATGCCAGGCGTTCTACATGGATATTGGGATCCAAACTCAAGCCCTTATGCTTGTGTGGCAAGCACTTTACCAGGTAAGCCCTACGTCCAGCCAAAAGGCATTGTGATAATAATGTCCACACTTGAAGACTGTGTGATTTGATTACAAAAATAATCACAGGACATATTTGTTTTAAGCAATTCTTTGTTGGGCTGTATTCCTAGTCATCCTTGGGCTCATGGGGCCCATAGGTCATGGGTTGGACATTCCTGATTGACAATTTTTCCTTGTTTCTAAAGATACATTGATTTTTATTTTATGTATATGAATGTTTTCCTGCTTGTGTGAACGTGAACCATATACATGCCCAGTGCCCACAGAGTACATAAGAGGGCATCAGATCCCCTGGAAGTGGAGTTATGGATGCCTGTGAACAGCCGTGTGGGTGCTGGGAAATAAATCTAGGACCTCTGAAAGAACAATAAGTGCTCTTAACTGCTGAACTTATTGAACTCCAGTCCCCTTGCCACTGTTTTCCTTTTGATAAATTCTCTTGTTCAGCAAAACAAAGCTGATGTGTAAAAAAAAAAAAAGGATGGCAAAGGGGTCAGAATTAGATTTAATAAATTTGTGATTTATGTTTGCATTCTTCCTGCTGTCAAATGGGCCTCAGTTTCCTACTGTGTCACAGGTACCATCTAGGCAAGGCAAGTGAGTATACATATCTAGAAACTTACACTTGGCCATGTAAGTGACCCTGCCCCAGAGGAACTCACAGTGTAGAAGTGGTGTTCCTGCGATAGCAAGTCACCGTAAGTAGGAAGTGCTCCAAAGGGGGAGAGAGAGGGGAAAGGGAGAGAGGGGGGGGGAGAGAGGAGTCACAAGCTGGCCTTTCAGGGCCCTGAAGCAAACTAATGACCCCCAAAGCCAAAATCAATTCCTTGCTTTTGTCAGCCCCCCTTAGGATCTTCTCGCCTTCTTGCAGAATTATTTTTTTCTCTCTCACCACTGTTTTTTGAACTAGATTTTGTCTAAATGTAAATGCAAAAGGAGCAAGAGGGTCATCTGCTGTGAGATGCTGTGAGGAGGTTGGCCTGAGTGGTGAGCTATACGTCGAGTAGACTATGTGAGAGGCACAAGCTTAGAGAAGCCAGAGAAGAAAGCAGCTTGGTTGTAGAGGGGTAAAATTGCTCACTAACATTTCTCCTTCAGATTCATCGAGGTCCCCTGATTGGCAGTTATAGGGAGAGAAAACCTGGCCGCAGACACTCCTTGCTGGTACAGTCCACCTCACTTAAATCTCCATGTGTGTATTGTTTTTAAGGTAGCTGCGGTAAAGACACCTCCCATGTGTGTAATTCCCTGCTACTAGTAGAACAAATCCTAGCCTATATAAGGCCTGCATGTGGTTGGACAAATCCTGGCCATTTACCCTCTTCTTTTGTCATCTGTGGTTTAGTAGCCAAGAGTGTAATGGTTGTATATGGTGGCATGTGCCTGTGATCCCAGTACCTGAGAGACTGAGGCAGGGACATCATTACTTCAGGCCAACCAGGTCTGTATAGTGAAGCCCTGTCTCAAAAGCAAACAGATGCACATGGACCGTTGACAGTAGTCTTTGGAGGCAAGAATTCAGAAAGAAGACAACATCCAATTCCTGCCAAGGGTGTTGTGGGGCAAGTGTGTTCAATAATGAATGCATGGTCTCATCTTACAGGCCCTTGGTGGGTAGGATGGGAAACTGCCAAAAGAAGAAGGTCCCACGTTGGAGGCCTGTTCATAGCGTTGCACAACTGTGGTAGGAATATGAGAGGAACCACGTGTGCAGGACACAGCAAGCACCCAGAGATCCTTGGGGACTCTACAAAAGGATCATCAGACAGAGGCCAGCATTAGAAGGCAGCTGCCATGTGAGGCATAGGTTCCAGGCCAGTGAGGCAGAGCCTTAATTTTCATCTTATGTGGAAGAAGCAGGGGCTCATGGGGAGCTGTGGTGAGGCAGCAGGAGTCTATAACTGATGTGGGAGACATCATCCACAGTTGCACAGGCGTGAATTTCCTGCAGGGAGATGGATCAGTGTGCATGGAAGACAGCAGACTGACCGAAAGGAATCTAGTATTGAAATGATAAGAAGGAATGATTCATCCTGGAGAACATGCTAGAAAACAAAACTACTAGTGCCTACAGAGAGGAAGACAGGGCTGAGATAATACACTCAGTAAACATTACCTTATGCCAGCTGATGCTTGTTGTTTTGGGGTGTTTTCTCAAGGTAGCAACTCTAAATGTGTTTGATGCAATCATCCTAGGTATGTGAGGAGTTGAAGGAGCCCAGTCTGCCTTGCATATGTGGAACTTTGTCTGATGCTTGCCTTGGGGGCTATGACTTTCCTTTGCTAATAAAAAAGGCAATGCCTTGTGCAGGGGTAAGTTAAGACTCTTGGGGTTAAGCAAAGAAGTTTTAACCCATCCATGGCTCTCTCTGATTTGTCAAGGAATGTTCTAGAGAAACTCCCAAAGAGAAATAGTACCCTTGACTAATGGTAGGACTCCAGCTATTTACCGTTTGTATCACTGCACTGTTTCTATGTGCAGACACACTGACTGATACAGTCATAGTTAAGAGCTATGAAGTAAGATGATTCAAAATACATTGAAAAGAAGAAATTCATCAAGTAGGGAGAACGTATGCAAATGGAACTGGCAGAAACAAAAATTCCCATGACAAGTAAAGGCAGCGAAGGAAAGTGGTACACATTACTGTCCACACCATCCAACATCATCAGCTGAGCATCACTAGGCCTGTGCTGGGCTCTTCCATGACATGACATTTCCCTCAGGACCCACCTTCCTTTGTCCTTTGTTATTTGACTTTCTCCTTTAGCTTACTGCATTTGTCTTAAGTTGAAGGCACTGGAGTGGATCATTTTCTAACACGGAGAGCCATGGGGTTAGAACCAAATTCACATATTTGCAGGGAATGATGAGATTACATATATGAAGAAACACTCTAGAACACAAACTCTTTGTTTATTTCACTCTGGAATGAGATTCAGCAGTAGCATGCACTCTAGTCACTGTTCTCAGTGTCTTATTTTAATGTCTGTTCAATATATACAAAATATCAGTTGTATAATGTGTTCAAAACCTTATGAAATTTTTTATGCCATTTCATAAATTACAAAATATGAGACAACTGTGATTAATTCTCTTTTCCAACAACTTGTTGGGACCAGGGGAGCCATTGTTTCAGGACAGTCTGAGAAGCATTTTAGAAGGGCCCCACCTCAAGCCTAGGAGAAATTGCCTTGAAAATTGTATCGCCACAGCTTAGACTCACCAAGGTGCTGTTTCTACCTGGTATTTTATCCAGATGCATACTGCACACCTACATGTCTACTCAAATTTGTTCTTTTCTTCCCCCTTTAGAAAAAACTCTCCTTGAATTTTAGTAGGGCATGTGTTTGTTCATCAAAAGCCCATATTTTGTAGATTATAGAACTAAATGTTAACCAATAGAGGGTAAGTAGATAGTTCTCATCTTGTGGCTTTATCTTTATATCTGTGGTGCAGTTGTGGAAGCAGGAAATGGAATGGCTGTTTTAGCCCCAAAGAGCACATAGCTCAGATTTGATTAATGTACAAAAAGAAGATGAAGTTCCAGGATGAAGAATGATGGGTGGGAGTCAGGTTATGACAAAGGCTTTGGTTACTTTGCTCATGAGTAAGGATGATTTTGGGAACATCAGATAGTTTTTTGAATCTTTGAACCAATTGCACAATCTTTCAAGTCTTTTAGTGTCTTCCTCTATTGAGAAGGGTGTAGATAGAGAGCATTCTATTTCATGAGGTAGTTATTGGGACTCAGTTGTAGTAGGAGCTGTTTGAGCAACATATGCTATTTTAAAATTATTGCCAGTTATGGTTGCAACTACATGCAAAACAGCATGTTTCTTACCCAGCAAGAACATCTATCTAGAGGGTGATGTCTCATGAGAGAAGCTTCTTCTCAGTTTGGTGTTCTAGAGTCTTGCCTATTCAAAACCAATAGGATCATCAGGAGAAATCATTTGTTAACTAGGCCTTGAGCCTGCCTGGATTGCTAATAACCTTCCTATGATGCCGCCATTCTCTTTGCAAAGGATAATTCTTGCTGTCATCAGCTGCAGACGGATTTCCTGTTTGGATAAATTTGATGGAGGAAATTATCCTGCCAGGAGCTGGGCAGATGTATAACTGCTGTACTGTTATGTGACAAGCTGATTGTCATGGTGGATGTCTGTGGACCCTGTATGTGGGAAGCTGAAATTGGAGATCCCTAGTATTGTAAGGTGTCGGGTCAGTTGTCTGAGTCTGCTCACCAAATGTTCTCTCTGTTTCATTTCAGAGTGGTCCAGTTCATCCTTTACGTCCTCCTCGATGTGCTCACATCCCAATGCTCACAGAGGCTTCTCCGCATGCCTTCAAATACAAAACTGAACACCAACCCATTCGAAGTTCCTTTCCAGTACCACTAAAGTGTTGCAAAGCAGAATTTGAAACATTATTTGGGATTCGCTGTGAGTTTTCCGAAGCAGAATGCTTTGGGAAGGATGGTTACATGGCTCACAGCACGCCCTGGCAAAGTCTCTTAAAGTGGCTCATCATTTCTGACCCCTTATCACATTGCATCTGTTAGTTACCTTGTTCCTAAATGGTTAGACATCACAGACAGCGTTGGTATGAGCTGTTCTACTAAGTAACCCTGTATACAGATGTGAAAGTCTAAGGATAAGACTTGGAAAGGATCGTTTGACAGAGTACACATGGGAAAAATAAACTAAGAATATAGTTCTCACGTACAACTGCCATAGCATCATCACTATGCTAGGCACAGTCCCATAGAGTCTGATGACAATGTGCAGTATGTCATCTCACAATCTAACGTTCACTGGAAGCACAGTGTCCAAAATGCTTCATTACATTGGATAGAAGCTAGAAATGCTATTCTGCAAAACTCAGGGCACCTGGCAAACTGATGGCTTGCTCCTTTGATAATTTCATAATTTACAAGTTCAAAGAAGTCTACTAACCAGGCAGAACTGGGTCATGACCCAGAAATGACAGAACCTTTGATAGACAGGAACTCAGTGTACTCAGTATTAAAGTAGTCAGGACCATGTCATAAATCTAATCAAAATTTCTATGAATGTTGATAAATAAAATATGTAATAGTGGATTTATTGGGGATATTACCTCAAAAAACATTTTTTGAGAAACTGTATCTATTGATGACCCCATTGATGACTGGAGACCAACAAATCAGCCTAGACCAGCATATTTGTAACCTGAATCAGGGATGGTTCTGACCCAAGGCTAGCCAATGACTAGAATGGCTGATTGTGTTTAGTTGCTGTCCTCCAAGGCTGAAAGGCCCTGGACAGCAAGGGCCTGACACTAAGAGGAAGCCAGAAAAGCCGATTGTTAAAGCGAAGAGGAGTGGAGTAGTTGGCAGATGCCATTGGGACGTAAAAATGGGGTGAGAAATAGAGGAAAGCTAGACTGTGAAGCTCTGAACAACAGAATGGCTGCCTGTCCTCTGTTTTGACATAGTGTCCATAAATAGGTATTGATAGGGTAAGAAGAGGAAGGTGTCTTAAGACTGCTAAGTTTCAGGCCCCGTGAGGACTAAGCATGCTTAGCTTAAGGTGATGGTTGTCTGCAGATGCTATCCGAGGTCTACCACTAATGGATGTTTTTTTTTTCTTTTTTAATTTGAACTTGCTATATGGTGTATCTGTCTGTTGTTACCAAAGCAGCTGGAATCTTGCATAGATGTGACCAGACTTTCTAAGCAAGAACTCACAGCCCAGATTTTGATGTGAGGCCTCTTCCTTGCATCTCAGCTAAGCAAATGCTCATTGCCTACACTTCTGTTACTCCATCCTATGCCTAATGTCTTAGAAAGTCCCCCTTCCAACAGGGAAACATTTGTAACCTACCAAACAAGACATTCCGGGTATCCTATAGTCTAACCATGTCTCTTTTAAATGATTTTCCCACATGACTTCCTAATTGTGGTTCTACTCACAAGACAAGCATTCATGTAGTGTCTCTCTCCTAGACTTTGATCAGACATTGTTTATTAAACTGCCTTAAGACTTTATTTCAAATGGAACAATCCAGAAAAAAACCACAATTTCTCCAGTAGATGTCTTCAAAGTCTAAGTGAGGTGGCTTGTCTATATTAGTGACACCAAAGTTGGACACCTCAAAACCTCTGGTTCCTAAGCACAAATGGGTGTTCCACTGAAGATTCCCTATCTGCCCTCACTCCCAAATAGAGACAGGGGGGAAGATGGTGTAATTACACCACCTCTTGGTCTGCCAAATTCTTAGATTATGTTGTTAATGAAAAGATTGGGTGTATTTCTTTTTTGTTTGTTTCTGTATTTAAAGCTTTGTACTCTTTAATGACCATTTGATTTAGCCCTTCCTTATGACTTTACAAGATTCTAATATGGTCTATCTTGAGACTCTAATGGAACACTTAAATAAATGTGCAAGCTATTAAAATAGTGCTAGAGAATAACTCCAAAGAAGGAGGTATAAATATTCATATTCACAATATCTTATAGATCAAGACTGAATAGTAAAGGACAATGGGTGTGGACATAGCCTCAGCTAGAGTATCTGTCATGGTTAGAACCAGGTGGGTCTCATTCATTTGGGAAGTAGAGAGTCCTGTAATCAGAGCAGATTCTTTCTTCTTTTTAACAGAACTGGTGCAGTAGCTTGCCTAGATCCACTGCAACAGAAGCTGAGGTGAACCATGTTATGGGTCTTGGTTAAGCTACGCTGGGAAAAAAAATCAGCGGCAAGAGTTAACTTTTTAGCAGTCTATAGTTGCTGTTCATATTCATGTTTAGGACCACTTCAGAGCCAACCTAGTGGTCATTTACTCTCACTTCAGTTTTAATTGGTCTAGCTCATAAACATTTCATAGTCTGTAGTTGAAAAGGAACCCTTATCTTTGCTTCAACAGTCAGCACACCATCCATATTCCTTTTTAAAGCCTCACGTACAATACAGTTTATTGAGACCAATGTTAGGTGACACGCCTTGGTCTTGCAGATGTGCACATAGCAGAGAATCAAGGCTGCCTCTCTATCTCTTTCTCCTCCACCCTCTACGTCCTTTCTTCTTTGCCTATGCTCCACCAGCTTTTATGGCCAGGACTCCTTACCTTCACTGCAGAGAAAATTTCACTCCATTAAAAAGGGAATTTTAAGGGAGAAATTGGGCAAGTAAGGTCTTACAGACAAACACGGTTTGCCCTGTGGTTATAAAATGGATTGCCATGCTCTGCTTGGTCTATTTACCCATGAAGGGAAGATGGGTAAAGGGAAAGAGCTAAATACAAGCACCTGGGTATGGTAATGATTTTTCTTTTGTTTTGCTTTGTTTTGTTTTGTCATTGATTATGTGGAAGACAGGTACCTGGCTATTTGCCGGCTGGAAAATCCTACAGGCAGCTTACACTCTTTTGGGATGCCATAGACATGACATCCAGGCCTTGGCACCAGTTCCTCTCCAACCCAGCTTATATTCAATGCATTGCATCTTCTGGAATCTCAAAGGCTCTGAGTTGGGAAGGAGCCAATGTCATGGCCAGGGAACACAGCTTGGCTCCAAACCCTGGAAGACAATGGAGTCCCATTGTGACTGACACAGTGAGCCACTGGATGGCACTGTGGGTCCATAAAGATGAGGATGGGAGGACATTTGTCTTTCTTTTTAAAAGGCCATTTAAGTTTGACAGGCAATTTGGCACATTTCGAGTTTGAGAGTGCCAAATGATTTGGCAAATATTTCATTTACCTCTGAAAATAGTCACACCTGCTGTTGTGGCCTGCATGAAGGTGGAGGTTGGTAGCTTCTCCCTCCACTCCCTTGTTGACGCCAATTTCAGAGATGAAAAAAAAGATTTGACTAAGGATAAGGAGACAACCTACCATGGTTTCCACTGCGGTACCATGCTCTGGAAAATGGCCAAAGGTTTGTGTTTCTTCTGAGCCCAACCTCTCCATTCTCAGGGAACATCTTTATGTCTTCCCATGCTGCCTCAACCCCCAAATAGGTAACTCAGCTAACTATTGGCCGGATGGAATGAGATTTGTATGAAGAGTTGTGTCCTCTAGTGGTCCTCCAACCAAGAGCATTGGGAAAAACTATCCCCAACTTTTCCTGTTCTTAAAAAATTTCTGCTTATTACTTGGTGTGTTTAATAACCAGAAGACCCAGGCAATATGAGAATGCCTCCTAAGCTGCCTCTTAACCATCCTGAAGGCATTAATTTGCTGAACATGATGGTGACAGTCATATGTGGACAGTCCATACCTGTGGGAGAATGTGGGTGACAGGCTGAAACTTGAGGCCTAGGCCAAGTTCCTAGTGTGACACATTCAAGCCCATCTCCCATAATACATGCTGTTCAGTAGAGCATATTGGGGTACAAATGAATAAAAACACTGTTATTATCAGTATAACTTTAAATGTGATTTAATCTTTAAGATGGTAACACATTTTCAAATCAAATTACTGTAGCCAACACACCTATGGTATGATGTAGGACCACTTGCCAAATGCTAATAACAGGTTGGGAATGGATAAGTTAGAGAAGAGAGATTAGTGAGTCCTGCCAGGACTGTGCACCAACTAGTAAAAGAAACAGTAATTGTGTCAAATCTATCAATCTTTTGAGAAATGCCAAGGAAGCATGCTATAGTGGAATGCCTCTGGCTTCAAGTTTTGAGGAATGGCTTGTAGTCCCAAGCCCACCTAGCAGCTGTGCCACAGTGCAGACATTATTAACTCTCTAATCTGTTTTCTTACCTGAGCATGGAAAAAGTAATTCAGATGAACTCTTGTAGCTTGACACCATTGGGATTTCCTTTAGGTTAGGCAGTTTTGAACATTTTCAAATATCTTGGTATATATTAGGATTATATATAGCCATAATAAAATGGGAGGGTATATTTATTTAAGTAAAGTCTAAATTAAATAATTACCATTTCGCGTAATAAATTTCAGTACCATTAAAAAGAAACTTTTGGAACAGTGAGATGCTTTATGAAAAATGCATATTTATGCTTTTAACATTTAGATTATGAGCACAAAGAAGCTCTTTCTTAAGTTTTTATCTTTTGACACGTATTAGTTTTTTCTTTATTCATGCCTCTGTATCATATCACTAAAGTCTTACTTCATGAGAGGCCAGATGACGAACATTATGGATATTGATGGTGAACTTGATAAGAGGTTTCTGTGGCCTGACAGAGTGGACACCTAGCTGGAGCAGGCCGAAAAAGAATGGGAAGTGAGGGATTGTGTGGTGGTCGATTGCGTGAATGCTGTGTGTACTGTGCAAGTGTGAGGATGGGAGTCTGGATCACCAAGAGCTACACAGAAGCTGCATAGGTGGGGCTGGCAGGATGACCCAGAGAGGAAAGTCGCTTGCCGCTGAGGCTGAAAGACCTCTATTTGATACCCAGAATCCACATGGTTAATGGAAAGGACTGGGCTCCTTCAAGTCAGCCTGTGACTGCCCCACCTACACAGTGACATGCCCCACTCAATAAAGAAATGAATGCAATTTATAAAAAAACAGAAAAACTGGGCTTACCTGGAGATCTGCTTATATTCCCAGTGCTTGAGAGAAGACATGGAATGCACCAGGGTGTGCTGGCTAGACTAGACTAGCCAGATCCCAAGTTCCTGGTTCAGTGAGAGTTCCCGCCTCAGTGAATAAAGACCAAGAGATCAGCCAATGTCAACTCTTGGTCTCTTGGATGCCTACTCTCACACATGTGAGTATTAGAGTATGTATAACACACACACACACACACACACACACACACACACACACACACACACTTGGTCCTCTGTACATGTTTTGCATCTGTGAATTCCAGTAAGTGCAGGTTGAAAATATTCAGAAAAAAATATATATGAACCATGTATAGAACATTTTATCATTGCCCTCACTTCCTAAATCAAACCATATAACAACTGTTTATATTATCAGTAATCTAGAGATAATTTTAGACATATAGAATGATGTTTGTAGACTATATGCTGTTATGTCTTAAAGTTTGTGTACATTCAGAACCCATGTCTCATTATTATTGAAGGAAAAGAGTATTTACGATTCTTACAAGGATTTTTTTAAAAGAAAAAAAGCCCTAACCAACCAACTGAACAACAACCACAAAAAGGTCCCAACCAACCAAACAACCAACCAACCAAACAACTAACCAAACAAACAAACAAAAAATAGGGAAAGAAAAAGAAAGAGGTAGTAGCCAGTACATGAATTCTAGAGAAGCACTCTCTTCTGAGAAGGTGGACACACTAAGGTGCACTACATCTGAAGGAAAATAAATAGATAATACTTAACCATATATTTGGAATTCTCACTAAAAGATTGAGATCTGGTTGTAGATCTTGTGCTTATTTTAACAAAGAGCTAGACCATCTTGTGTGCCCCCTGTCTTTAAGCAGAACAGTCAGGGTGGAGGAGGATCCAGGAGAACTCCTTGCTCCTGCCAAGTTAGCAGGCTTGAATTTAAGAGACCATATCATCCAGAACTGGCCAATCAAGGCATCCAAACCTCTCATTAAACTGACTGTGGAAACTGAGGTTAAGAAGAATTAGGGCTAAAGCTTTACTCTCAGAATAGTATTGGGTAAGCATTTAAAAAATGGCTTTGGGACTAGAAATAGCTCTGTTTGGGTGCAATTCTACCATCATTTATCAGTTGAGTAACCTTTAAGCAAGTTATCCTTGGTTCTCACATCAATTGAATGAGGGGACTCTATACTATTTCAACAAGTAGGCACTGGAATGAGATATTTGTCTTCTATGATTGTTGTGAAAACAAACACAAAGAAGACAAATGCTTACTCCAGTGCTGAACATGAGGTCAGGGCAAACTCTGATGCTTGTTAGCCATTATATGAGCATTTGCATGCATGGAAATGAAACGTTATAAACTTGCATGTACAGAAATTCTAAAAATGTTATGGATACTTCTACAAATGGAATATAATAAACACCAGAGAAGGCACACAAGCCACAATGTTTAGTCTAAGCCTTGCTAAGTGCATGGCCAGCTGCAGTCACCACACTCAGAGGCTCTTACTCATGGTTGACTCAAGTCTAGGTCCTTTTCCAAACCCTGTTTGGCCTGCCCGTGCACAACGGTTATCTTCTATATACAAACTTCAGAGACACCTCCCTAACCATCTGGGAACTGAATACCTCATTTCTCTCTTGCTCTTTCCCCTGGAGTTCCTTTGGAAGCAAACCAGGAGTCTAAATTTGCTGGTTGTGGCTAAGGGCTGCCAGGAACGAAAAGCAATCCTCTTTCAAAGGCTCCAGAATTGGCTGCTGCGAATGAAATGAGAGCAATGAAGCTGTGGGTGCAAAGCAGAAAGGATAAGGGGCACCAGAGAAAAGCAATGCCTTCCAACTCTTTCCCATACCAGGAAGGATGCTGCTAGTCTGCTTCCCTTCAGCAGGCCGGCCAGGCACCATTCCTGATTTGGCCAGAGCCTTTGGGTGGGTGTCCACCTATGTTGTCATCCTCCCCCCAGTTCTTTATGTTTTCCTAGATCCTGTAGCTTAGGATGTTTGCTCTCTCTATTGGGAACCGCCCCCTTTTTATATATAAATTCCCAGCCACCACTTTGCTTAACTATATTTCCAATGTTAGTTTTCTTCTCACTGAAGATGAGCAACATAGGGCCAAATTAAAACTCATAGAACAGCACAAGTTAATTGGAGTCTGAGAAGATCAGGATACTTGAAGCTCAGCTTGATAAAAACCCCACAGGGTTTGGAAATGAGTCTTATGGGAACCAAAAAATAAAATAAATAAAAAAGAATCTGCTTTCTCTTGCCCCAGGGATCCACTTACCAACTTTCTATAGTAATCTCTAAACTTCTCAACTACAATCAAATGCTTAGTTTAAATAAACAATATGTTTATGCTTCTACTTTACATAGACTGGTGAAAAAGTGTCTGAAGTGAAAATTAAAGTTTTATAATCTTCTTAGTTACTAACATAAACTAATATAATAGAAAATATTTTAGTAAGGCAATTGACTTCTTTTTTGATGGAGTTGACGTACTCATAATTTTCTCTTTCTCAATTAAATATACAAAAAATCTAGCTATGCCATGTAGTCTAATGTACCCTTCCTGCAGGTTTTCTTTTCATTTTCAAATTATACTTCTAGAATGATGATACAGCTTATTTGGCAAAGCACTTTTTGTACAACCATGAAAACCCAAGTTGGGATCCCAAGCACTCATAAAAAAAAGTTCAGCAGTGCACATCTGTAACTTGTGCAGTAGAAATGAGTCCATGGAGCTCAAGGGTCAGTCAGTGTAGCCAAACAACAAGTCAATGAGATACCTTGCCTCAAATATTAAGGTGAATAATGATTGAAGAAGACACATACAACTTCTATGTGTGAGCACATGTGCATCCGCACCCTCACGTGCATGTGCATATACATAAATATACAACACACATATACACACATGTACACATACCTTACAGTTTTTAAAAATGTGGTTAACACTGAGGACGTCCTCTAAGCATCAGGTGGTAATAAATTTGATAAGGAACTTATCGGGAGTGATCATGACACAAATAAGAACTACCATTCTGGGCTTCTGCATAATGGGAAATAGAAGAGTTAACCTTTAGTCTATCAGCTGAATTTTGGCTCAGAATTTAATGACACAAAGTCATTACCCCCTGAAGGTCCAGGGTCTTTGGGGAAATGAGTATAGTGGTTTCAGCTCCATCCCCAAAGAGCCTGGAGTCTCCATCAGAATGGCTGCCATTACAATTACAGCTAATTGACACTAGTGCTGTTGGAAACAAGACTGAATGAGAAGGCAGACTGAAATCACTTGTGTGTACCATTCAAGGTAGCCCGGAGCAGCTAAAGGCTGCCCTTCGCCACAGCTCATGAAAACTTTAGCTTTGAAATTTAGGGAAAACAAATGGAAGGCATGAAAATGTCTACTCATAAATTCAGTCTCAAAGCCTTTCTTTCCATACAGAATAGGGTTTCAATAGCAGTTCCTATTCAGGCTATATTTTATCAAAGTCCCATCTGTGTTGAGATCATGAACAAAGACAAGGTAAATCAGTCTACTTCCAGTGAGAATCAAGTATCTCTGTGGACAGCTACTACTGAATCTGAACTATTTCAGGTGAAAGAATCCTAACTATTGCTTGTTCTGGGCTGGTCAACGCTGGTTCTTCAGAAGAACATCTGTTAGAGAGCTTTTAAAATTGACTCTAGTTGGACATTTAGAGGTGTGGGTTGTTCACTTCCTCATTTACTGGAGGTTGTATTTAAGCTATAAACAGCAACAACGATATATTTTTAGGTTAAAAGAGGCAACTCGATATAAACAGTGGAGTGAAATAACTCTGGGCTCTTTACATATTTATAAAGAAGTTTCCTACTGTGTAACTCTTTCTTGTGAAATGCCATAAGGGATGTGGACAACTTGTCTTCCGATTGACATTTCTAAATTGGTGACATGCAATTACTTTCTCCATATTCACACTGCTAAGTAAGTTGAAGATTTTAGAACATATACTTGAGGCTCATTGAAATCTTCCCTAAGTCTAAAATGGACATTCAATGTCTTGAGAATTGATTTTAAAATGTTAACTTCCCTACTATCCTGAACAAAATGGGCCTCTCTGGAAAATTCCTGAAGACAGATTGCTGCTGTGTTAACTAATTCCTTATCTTGGAACTGTTTCCTGTGATTCCCTTGTTCTTACAGCATTACAGGTGAACCCCATCCGATGGAAAATTCTGCTTATGTTCACAATCCAAGAAGCAGAGATTTTGAGTTGGAAGGTAGCCAGAACTGAGTGGGCTTCTGTGATGGTTTGCATGTTTGGTAATCACATAAATTGTTTCATTATTTGTATGATAAATTAAAAAAAAGTCTGAAATAGGACTTGAGGAAGTTTAGAAACTGAGTCACTCTGGTATTTGTTTTGAAGCTGGCCAGTTGTAAAATGTACATTATGACTTGAAGAGTTTCCCACAAATGTTATGAGCTAATGTATATACACTCCACCTGACCACAGAGTGGAAGTGGCTGGAATTTAACATACAGGTGGTATCAATAAAGAAGTCATGCTGATCCCCACTGCACTAGTCAGGGTCCTTCAGAGGAAAAAGCCAATAGGACAGAGGCAGATATGCAAGAGGGTTTGTTATGGGAACTGGCCTAGGTGATTTTGGAGGCTGATATATGCCAGTAGCTAGCTGGGGACACCTGAGAGCTGTGGTGTACTCAGTCTGATTCTGAAGGCCCGAGGGCCTCAGGTGTAAGTCCTGGAATCATAAGATTCAAAACCTACGAACATTGAGACAGAGAGGGAGAGTATGACTTTCTTTTGTCTTATTTGGTCCCTTGGTAGTTAGGCTGATGGCCACTACACTGGTGAGAGCACCCCTATACTCAGGGTTCTTATCCAAATGCTGATGGCATCTGGAAACACCCGCATGGAAAAACATAGAATTATGTTTTTCCCACCATCAAGGTATCCCATTTCCATATCCCAATCAGGTTGACACATAAAATTAACTGTCACAGCAAGTTACTCAGACGCACAAGAGGGAGTGAGTCAGGGGTTCAGCACTCAAGGCTCAGAGGACTGATTGAATCTGAATTATAGAGCAGTGAGGCCCAGAGAAGCCATAGAAGCCAGCAAGTTCATCCATGAAGGTTGAATGGAAGGTAAGACAGTTGGCAGTAGAGCTCTAAGGTAGAGTCATGGTTCAGGAAGGAAGGACAATTGAATAAAGGAAGCCAAGGACCAGCTCTAAGAAAGCAAAGGCTGTAAAGAAATGTCATGTCCCTAAGCAAAGGCACAGAGTGTTAGGCAGGAAGAGTGGCTTCTGTGTCAATACTGGAGAAGTAAGATATAGATGGAAGTATGTTCATTAGATATGTCAATACTCGGACCATTAGTAACTCTGGGTTTCTGAAAAGCAGTTTCTGTGTCAGACCCTGGCAGGAGCCACACTGCAAAGTTAGAAAACAACGGGAGAGGGGAAGCTTGGCTGTGAAGTGAAATAAAATAATAATAAAAAGGAGAAGGCAATCAGGGAAATGTCTGGGGCTTTTAAAATCCTCCAAGTTTTGTATAGATTTTAAAAACTTAAGATTGTGTTACAGGATTGGCCCACAGAATCAACTAAGCAGGACTCATAGGGGTTCACAGAAACTGAAGCAACAAACAGGGATCCTATGTAGGTCTGAGCTAAGTCCTTATAGTTGTATAGCTTGCTGTTCTTGTAGGACTCCAAACAATGGAGGTGGGAGTGTCTCTGACTCTTTTGTCTTCACTTGGGATCCTTTTCCTCCTAATGGGTTGCCACGTCCAGCTGTAATTTGAAGGTTTGAGCCTAGATTTATTGTATCTTGTTAGGCCATGTTCGGTGGATGGATATCTTTGGGGAGGACTCCTCCTTCTCCTCCTCCTCCTCCTTTTCTTATTTTTCTTCTTTGAAGAGAAGTAGAGGAGGAATTGATCTGGGGAAGAGGGGAGGTGTGGGGGTATCTGGGAGGAATGGAGGGAGGGGACCCTGTGGTCAGGATATAGTATATGAGGGAAGAATGTGAGTTAAAAATTGATTAATAAAAATATTGTGTTTACAGAAAACCCTGTGGAAGGAGAAATTGAATGCACAGGGAGTCTGGAACCGAAGGAATGGGGCCCCAGGAGTGGTGAAACTGTGGCAAGATGGATTGTGAATCCCCAAAGGCAAGAAGGAACGCCTACCCCAGTGTCTAAATGGGTGGCAGGAAGAGAGATTTAGAGTTAAACACATCATGGGGAAGGTGCTAGAGAAAGACTTTTATTTCCAAAAACAAGTTATAGTTTTCATCAGAGAATAAAGAAGAAACTGCAAATGAAGCAGATTTTTAAAGAGCTCAAAACCTGAAACTGGAAAAAAACCCTAAATAAATAAACCAACAGTCTGGTGAGATGGCTCTGTGGGTACAGCTACTTGGTAACAAGCTTGATGATCTGAATTCTGTCCTGGGACTCTATCCTAGTTAAAGGTACTATTGCTATGATGAAACACCATGGCCAAAAAGAAGTTGGGGAGGAAAGGGTTTATTTAGTTTACACTTCCAGATCAGAGTCCATCTTGGGAACTCAAACAGGGCAGGAACTGGAAGTAGGAGCTGATATAGAGGCCATGGAGGGGTGCTGCTTACTGGTTTGCTCCTCAAGGTTTGCTCAGCCTGCTTTCTTATAGAACCCAGGACCACCAGCCCTCATTTAGCATCATCCATAATGTGCCAGAGCCTCTTCCATCAATCACTGTTTAAGAAAACGTCCTATAGGTGTGATGGCTAAGTTTTAAGTCTAAATTACTGTGCTTAAGGGATCCATAAAAATGTCTCTAACCTGTAAGCTCTACATGCCCAAGGACAGACAAGTTCCTGGGATACTGGGGCTATTGTTCTTAAAAGATAACAAACCCATGTGTTTTTTTTTTTTTTTTTGCTTCTGTAAACAAGCTTGGAGTGCATAGGATATGTGCTTGATTATACCTAGGCAGGAAGTACGTCAGGATGTATGCTTGCCTCTGATTGCACGAAAGTGGGAAGTACTTAGCCTTGTGAGGTTTGCTTTTGACTAATGTAATTAGCGTCTGACTAATGTAAGCTGGTACCACATTCTGAGTATGAGTATGAGTTTTAGGTATGAACCTGACCAGCCCCCATGGCTCTGGTCAGAATTTAATAAAGTATCTTATTTGTTAAATTTTATTCATGGTCAGACTGGTGACTTTCTAAACAACCCCAGATCCACAATGCAGGTTTGCCTACAGCCCATCTTATGGAGGCATTTTCTCAATTGAGGTTCCTTTCTCACTGATGACTCTAGCTTCTGTCAAGTCAACATAGAACTATCCAGTACAGTACAGACTCCTACAGAGGAAGGAGTACATAGACTCATCCAAGTTGTCCACTGACTCACGTGAGGGGGGGAGAGTGGGGTGGGGGAACACAAATAAGAAAATAAATCTTAGGTTTGCAACGGGCAGTAGGGGAGAGGGCACTGACTTGATAGATGGGTGGGAAGGCTTTCCTGGAGCAACGTGTCTGTGGCTCAGTGAGCTAATTTAATTAGAGACACAATTGCCTTTACCTATTTTCCATATATAAAATGTACCCCTAACTCATGTCACAAATGTGAACTGTGGAACAAAGGAAGGAAGCAGATGAGGAAACACGGAAGGGTCTAGGACATTTGTGATGGGGAAGAAGCTTCCGGCAGAGGATGGTAAGTAGCTGAACATCATTTCCAGTATGCATATCTTCTAGCAAATCAGAAACTGCTCCTGTATTCCTAACAAGGAGTCATGCCTGTGGTGCGACTTTCTGTCCAATTAATAACTGGTCCCATAATTTAACAGAGGGAAATTGTCACATTTTTGTAAATCTGCCATTATTTTGAGGGCTGTTTTCCATTTTTTCCTAATCTCATGTGTTTTTTTTTAATCACTTTTATCAGTTTTATTTTTGGCAACAAAATGACTTTGGTTACTGCAGTATTGAAAGTCACAAAGGTCCTGAATTTGAATTTATATTAGGATTATTGTGTATTCCTAGTGGTTAGTTTTATTTTTAAAAAATGGAATTGTGATGGAGGAATTTCAAGTTGTTTCACTGTGGGGGAAGAGCAATTCTGCTGAGAAATTCTCTTTCTTAGGCCATTGTCACAAGCTAACACTATTCATGCATGTCTGCTGCATGTTCCCCTTGTCAAAGTCTTCAAAACAAAGGCAAGTGAAACTATTTCACTCCTTTCTCTCCTTTTACAATCTTTGTGCTGGAGACACATTCATACCAATGCTGGATGGAGTTTTCTAACTGTTTGAGTTCTCATTCTCAAAGAGAAAGCGGGGAAAAGTGGCATTGAACTAATCCATTCTTGAAAACATCTTAACATTATAAGCAGAACAAAGTGGTACAAAATGTATTCAGCCTCACGGATTTCTCTAGATTGTAACCAGAATAGAAGATGGCAGAATGTATTAATTCTTAAGATAAAATTATAATGAGAACAGAGAATGGTGCGAGATGAATTAATGTGGTGGCAGACTTCTTTCTGTCTGCAGAGCATGGAGCTCTCTAAATACCACGGCACAGCACTTTGTAGTCAGGGCTCTCTTGTAATCTATATTTTAAAGATGCTCTAAAGATAAAGCTAGGCCATATTTTCATCTCTAGGAGCACTGCCATAGCTCTCTGGACACAGAATAGCCCTGGGGAAGTGATGAATGGACTACCTGGCAGGCACAGAGGAGATTCAACTTAGATATCAGGAAGATTTTTATTACTGAGAACATACACTGACATGTTACCTCCTCTAGCAGATCCCCTTTAAGTCTGCTACTTCACGGGAAATGTAGTTAGAGCAGTTGTGGTTTGTAAAGAAGAATTTGCACTTTGGGGAAAAGAAATTCTTTGTATCTGCGGTGTGCAAAGAAGTACTGGCTGTTTTCTGCCATCGCTACTTAAGCATTTAGATTTTCTAAAAGTCCAAACACTCCCCACCCCCACTTTTTTCTGGAATGATCCTTAAAGGGGTAATGACCAAATTATATATTCAAAATGAGATTATTTTTCATCCATATTATAAATATAGTTATGAAGATACAGGCTGTGGGTTTGGGGAGAGTTGGTCTGTGCAGTTGAATATCTGCAGTGTCATTCAGATGCATACAGTTTTAGAAGCTTTGTGCTGTTCAATGAAGGCAGATGTGCCAAATAATAACCAAGGAGACGCATGACTGCCGACACTTGAAAAGGACTGTGACTCCAGAAGCCATGGTGGAAAGCCTCAAGTGACTATTTTAGAACTTTGAAATGTTTAGTAATGCTTGTCCTACATAGCTTTGCATCTTCCACAACCTGATCTGATTGTAAAGTTTTAATCAGGAAATTTTGTCTGGCCTTTTAATCAGAATGGCTTTGCAGGTTTGATTGACAGCAAAATTACTCTTTGTTTTGAATGTTTCTGATCCAAGAAATTTGGGCCCTAGGTTTTTTGTTGTTGTTGTTGTTGTTTTTGTTTTTCTCTCTGCATTAATACTACTGCTCAGGGCACAGCTAGGTTACCGGAACTATGAATTAGAGTTTTTAATGACATCAGCATGTGGCATTAGCAACTCTGCCTGTGATTTCAGATGCAATCTGCAATCTGCAACTCTATGGTAATAAGCAAGAGTGAATTGTGCATTGCAAGGATGTGTTAATTCCAAAGGATACTGTAGCCCAGGCTTAAACACTTTGTATTCTCTCTCTACTTTAGTGGTTGACTGTGACTGTTCTATGACATAACCTTTATAAGCAATGATTCTCACTGAACTTCCCACAAGGTCAAGTGTTTTCATCTTACACGTACCTTGGAAATGAAGCTGTTTGTGCCTCCTCACTCGGCAGACTCAACGAATAGTAATGTAGTCCCTTTAAAATGTCATTAAAAGGACTGTCCTCTGTGAATGACAACCTACCATGCCCTATGGGCTATGATGAGAAGCCAAAACCTATAAGTAAACAGCACTTGTGAGATTGTTCCTAGGAAATCTACACAAACCAAACTGCCTTTCAGGAGAAATTAAACCTGAAATATCTCCTCCCCGCTGTTTGCAGGCCAGAACATGCAAAATTTGCATTTTCCTTTTAAAACATAATAAGGAGAATTAAAGGCCTATGATTAAGCACTTAACATAAAATTAAAGGGCCATGGTTATTCATTAGGAAAACACCATGTAACTAGAATTCAATTGGATTTCAGACAGATTTCTTTCTTTCTATACACAATTGCATGTCATAGATTTGACATTTCTGTCTATCCCTTTTGTCTTTCAGGCACAGTTTATAATATTTTATTCATATCTGCAGCACTGTAGAAACAGGAGAACAAATTCTGGTAAGTTATCATGGGCTGGCTTCCCGTTTCCCCTAGCAAACCCCATTCCTCAATTCTGTATGTTTCTTTAGGTTGAAGAGAGAATAGCATGCGATAACAACCGTGAATTTGCCTGATAGATGAAACTTTCAACTTAGAAAAGAAGGTACCTTCAGAAACCAGTCTTTACATATGTAGTAATGCTCTGTGACATGAGAGCTCTGATTATTTAACAGTCAAAGTTGAATAGTTGGAAAAAATATCCAAATGTAAATCCTGACCTTCCCTATGTTCCACAATCTATTCCAGATTAAAATAAACATCATAAGAAGAAAATGAAATGTGAGAATTTAACCTGGTCTCTATAGAGGAAAGACGGCCTGCATTTGAAAACAGTAGAAAAATAACATGAGGATGGGAAAAAAGTTTGAACAATATCTTAAATAAAATTAAAAAATAAGTAAATCCAGGAGACAAACACAAAACAAGAAAAAAATTCATAATAATGAAAACAAGAACCAAGCTACTTATAACATAAAGAACAATACACAAATAGGATGACAGAAAGGAAAACAGACAAGCTGCCACAGGGAAACAGTCCAAAGAAAAGCAGCACCGAATGCCACAGGCATACATATACTTGCAAAGAAAAGCCACACACATTTCCATTAACTAGTGAAGGCAGTGTGTGGTGATGGTTGACAGTGGCTGAAGGAAGTGGTACCTCACAGCCCATTGGGGGGATTGGCCTTTCTGGAAATCAATTTGACCTAACCATGATCCCTGTAACCATTACATCTGCCGTGTCCATAGTGCATCTCAAGCTGTGAAAAGAAAACTGCAAACCAGTATCTTTTTGTGATGTGATTCCATTTTCTTTCTTGGAAGGAAGGAATGATGGAAGAAAACAGAAAAAAAGCTAATTATATGTATTTATAAAGACAAACTGGTGATTTTGTTTCTTCTTTAAACGTCACAGAAGTTTGTTTATAGTACTCCTATATTGCAATCAGGGAAGGTAATAATCTTATCTTTAAAAAGAGGAAGAAACTTGTAAAATCTGTTCATATCCTTTGACCTGCTGGTTCCCTGTTTAGAAAAATCACTCAAAGGGAAAAGAAAACATGTTGACATGTTGTGGTTAAAAATGAAGGCAGCAGCAGGGGATTGTTTAAATAAATTCTGGACCATCCGAAAGATAGACTGTTATGCAGCTGATATGAATTATATGTCAGAAGGATTTTTGATGACCTGCTAAAATATATCTGACAAATTCTAAGCAAACAGAGTAAAACAAAACAGGATGGAAAACTGTATAAGAGGAGTGATTCCCGACCTCAAAAAATTCCACATCAGACGCTAGAAAAGCAAAGCACACCAAAATATTGATGGGTGTTGTCCTGGGTATATTAATTATGGAGGAATTTTTCTCTTTGTTGTGGGTTATTTTTGGTATTGTTTAAAACAACTACTATGCACTGCTTTTGTAAGTGTGTTTGGGGACACCATGGATCCTTTAACCGCTCAGATTGCCTTACACAAAAGTGCAACAGTTTTCCCCAGGAAGGGATTTCACTACCTTACCTTAAACTAGAAAGGATCAAACTCCAGAAAAGGGCCTTAAAATCTGCATGCCACTAGAAAAAAATTAGTGTCTGCCAATAAGCAACAGGCATTGATGTCGTTAGCTTGCTTTATCTGATACCACACCAGTCAGCTATGGGGCATTATGTAGAATGAGAAACCACACAGGGAAACAGAAGCAGCCAATACTTCATCCTCAAGGGATGGCCTTTCTCTAAACAGCCTCCAGAAAGTCTGCCTTCTATCCATGGCACGCTAACGCTTC